CTGAGTAAGTGTTTGAACTATTGAGGTTTCACAATTCTGTCAGTATCAGGAAAGGTTTTCAACAGAATGTTGCTGAACTGAATAGAAAATTCAGTAGACACCCAACTTCGATATCAACAGAATGATTTTCGCAAGGACCAATCATGAAATGACCAAACTGTGACACTGCAAATCACTTGAACGTCCAACTGGATGAAACTCATGACCATACATCAACTTCATTGATGATGAAAAGACATTTGACGGAGTGGATAGGAGAACCTCATGGAGTCTTCTCAAATACTATGAAGTACATGAAAATGACCTCACCATCATATGGAACTGCTACGAGGGACCAAATTGCATAGTGTTTCATGGAAAACAGCTCACAAATGAATTCCAAGTAGAGACCAGTGTCAAACAATTCCGACATTTCCCTTCCTTCTGGTGCTTGGCCGAATTGTGAAAATCTCCAGATTTCAGGGGAGGCACAGAATACAGTGGACACTTTCGATTCAACCAGTTGATTTGGACTTTGCAGTAACCTAGCCCTCCTATCTCACATATACCAACAAATGCAGGTAAAGAAAGACAGTGTAACAGTGTCTACCTCAGAAATAACTCCCAACACTGACAAAGGGGAAAGCAAGATCTTGAATTATAACACTGTCAGCACCAACAGAACCACGCCCTATAGTGGTGCTCTCGAAGAGGTGGAAGTCTTTCCCCAGCTGCCATCTGAGGCAGGAATTAGGAAAAGACACTAGAGTTGAATGCGATACATTATGTGGAAGTCACTAAATTATATCACAAGACAAGTTCTAACATGAAATTCTAAAGGTGAAAAAGGAAGAGGCAGACTAATAAAGAAACAGTACTGGGAATTGGATGTAGACACTAAGACCATGAATGCTACTTTGCAACAATTGCAAAGGACGAATTAGGACAGAGTTGGATGGATGTCCTTGGTCGGCAGCTTGTATCTTAATAAAGTTGGTAGGCTTATGTAATTACGTGAATCTATATGTGAACATCTGACTAGTTATTATTGCTAAACGTGAGTAGTATTGTCGAGTTGATTGTTGCTTTACATGAAACTTGAAGAGAACTTTATGACTGCTCAGAAAATATGGAACAATTTACAGAAATATTGTAAAACAAAATGATGTCTCTACTTTCAGTAGTAACTGTCATCAAAAATATGAGCCTTCATCATAGAGACATAATTGAGGTTTGGGAGTTCAGTAGATAAATCCCATTATATGACGGCTTAATTCAGGGTTAAATAATTAAACAAGGATATAGAGGGAAATTTTAACTTTTCTTTAAGAAAAATAAAATTCATGGAACACACTGCAGTCTCAACAAGACCATCAGCTTCAATAGATTAAGAAGGCATTTTGAATTACATGAAGCAAGGTATAATGCATGAACTTGTAGCCATATAAGTTTGCAAAAACTGAAGAGGTTAGCCGAATTTTAATCTCCAGATCTTACTTCTCTTTCAACAAAATTGTATTAGATAACTACAATGGAATCCTAATATTCAAAATCTAATCACATTTATACACAGCAGAGACCTACTGCTTGCCAACCATGCTACTAACAATTTACTTAAGTAGTTCAACTCTAAAGATGAATTTATTAATCTCAGCTCAAGGAAAATAGATTGTACTGCTATAGAAATTTAAAAAAATATTTCCTTATGGTTGCATTAAGATTACGCTAATTAAAATGAACTAATCCCATTGAACTTGCAGAGGGATTATAACACATCACGGAGCAATATATTAGTTTTATAGTGGTGGAAGTCTAGTTATGAAAATCTGGTTTGATTAATTGCCTCACCTAAGCGTTTTCCATGATAAGATAGCACCGAAGCATCTGTGAAAGTAACCCACAGAGGTCTATAATCTGAACATATAATACTCCATGGATTGTGGTCATATATTTGCCAGACGGTGAAGATGTGAGTAATGTATTAAAGGCCTGGATGAAAATCAGGCTGATTTCCTCAGGTCAGTTTATAGGTGGTAAGTGACGATCGTTGCATGAGTTATGGTTTTGAGAGTACTGGTACAATAAACACTTCCATTGACGAAAAATCCTGATTTAAGTGCTCTGGGTAGGTTGATTTGTAGTGTTTGAGCATTCGGATTTCCATCATGAACTCCTATACTTTAGGTGACTAGGTAACCAAAGAGAACGGGAAAATTGTATGGCAATACCACATGTAAACTGATCTTTGAAGAGCTCTGCCCACTGTTCCAGATGATCCTGAAGATTGTCAATTAAGTTTCAAGAAGCCCATAAAAATTAGCGCTTGTAAGTTTAATGTTTAGTAAATTAGCCAGCCTTTTTTCCCATTCATCTATGAGTTTTTGGCGGGCTATTAGATAGTTTAAAACCATCTCTACTTGATATTCGATTGCAGAGGTAACAATAGACAATTTGCATAAATCAACCATTTAGAACGGAGAATCCGTTAACCATCGAAGCGAAGATTAATTTGTGACATACACGAGGATTGACAGAAAGGAGAGGAAGTCCTTTATCTGTCCATACTACTGGTCATTGAACATATTATTTACGTCCAGACCTGAGTTAAAGAAGGAAAACTTCAAGTAGCATATGGGGGATAACCATACAGTAAGATGACACTGAGTAGAAATAGACTAGGAACTCCAAAATTATGCAGAAAACAACCGTCGCTACTTGTAATCTATGAGTCAACATTTGACATCTGAACGACTTTCTTATATCTTAACCGCCAACCGGAACATCTAAGTTATCAACTAGCTTTACAATGAAAGCGCTTGGTTGAATTCATTAAGTTAATGATAGAACTCATCTGTGATTATATCCCGGGTGATATGAGTTACAAATTAGGTAAAGGTAAGAAATATATATTGTTCATCATCACAGATACTTTTTACTTTAGTTGAACCTTCCAGTCTAGAAGCGCATAAACAACTATTATCAAAACCCAGTGGATTAGTAGTGTTCCGGCGCTTAGTCTTAAACCGATACTTTAAGGTCCTCAGGTAAATGCTAGTGGAAATTATGGATCAAGAGCTGGAGAGTGAATTGGGAGTATTTCAAAGAAGTTGCGAATAAGAGTCCGTGATGTACAGTTCACATCAAAGAATCGCTTTCAGAGTTTTAAAGTATCTGGACTCAATCTGATGAGTTCAAGCGTACGATCTGCTAACAGGTCGAGCGCTAGGATTAAAAAAAGTAAATTCTTCTGGTTAAGTTGAAGTAGAAATACTTCAATTTCTTTGTTATTTGAGATACTTTCATATAAAATAAACGTTTTAGCCTTTGAAATGGGAAACACGTTTACTCAGGTAACGTGATATAGGAGTTCCTTAAGAAAGGTGAGTAGACGTATGAGACTGGAATGGTTTTAGTGAAAAGAATATTACCTTAAGAAAGTGCAGAAGCATAGGCCGCCCACCAGCATTCTCCATCCAACCCTTTCCACTTGTTGTTCATCCTTTTCATATCTGCTTCTATTTCCCGCCGTAAAGTTGGCCTTCTTTTCCGCTCCCCTTCCGGATTCCAAGTTACGGCTTGCCTCGTGACGCAGTTTGGTGATTTCATCAATGTATGTCCTATCCACTTCCAACGTCTTTTCCTGATTTCCTCTTCAGCAGCATCTCTCTCGTATCTAGCCTTTGTTGTCCAGCTCGGGTCCAATGGGGTTCGCTGATCCCAAGTACTGCTAATTTGTATCTCCTCATTTCCTATTTGACTGGTCTTCCCGGTCTCCCACATTGTCCGGACGTTCCATGTACCTATAAAAATCGCTCTGGATTTTAGAAGGGGCGTCGGCCTCGATTTTCATCCTGATGTGTCATAATTCTTCCTTCGACTTCCAGGACAGATTTTAAATGGTTTGAATTATTCTTTCTGGTTAACGTTTTCTTAGCGAGTTAGTTTTCTACGGGATGGGGTCGCTAACTCGATGCCCAACCCTCTTCCTTTACCCGGACTTTGGAACGGCAGTAACTCTAGAAGAGCTAAAGACGGAGTAGTTCACATGAAATTCTGATTGCTAAATGAATGACATATAAATATGCTATGAACACGAGCAATTTTGAGAGCACATCAACGTAAGCTAAGGAATTTTTTTCGGGTTATACTTTAAGGTTACAAACATTACGGGAATGCGCTTCTGAAGTAAGTACAAAGAATCCCGCTAACTGTTAAATTACTTATTATTTTCACGTTTATAATTTTAGTATTGGTAGATGTTTTAATTTCATCTTGATTGTGTACATATTAACATAAACGGCAAACTTTTGATGGTGTCGTGTTCTCTGATTCGGATGCTTCAATTACAAATATATCAATGTTATTCTGAATGATATTAGATGAAGTAATTACGAAAAGTATTCATTTATGTTGCAAATTCTCTTCAGCATTTCAAAAGCCTTATAAACTTGTCGATGCAAATTTTATCCAAAGGTTTGAGAAGTCCAATATCCTTAGATTTTAATGATGCATTGTGTTTTTAGTCTAATTAAGTCAGTCAATGATAAGACCAATTCATTGTCAACTTGGGATGTAACGAGATCCACATCATCTAACACGTTTTTCTCTCAAACAAACGAACATAATTTGTCCGATTAATTTAGCACAAAAGCTAAACATACCTTTAGGTACACATATGTAGAGAGTATCGCATGTAGATTGAAGACAAAATCAGTATAACCAAGTTTAGAAAAAAAATATAATAAAATAATTTTCATTACCCAGAGACAATAATAATAATAATGATAATAGAAAAGAGAAAATGGAAAAGAAAATTACATGCTAAAAAAGGTTACTAATTGGTAATAGATCACAGTTTATTCAAAACACAGTATGCCACTGATTTTATTAATTAACCGTCCACCCAAACCTCCACAAAACGTTTCACATCAATCATTACTGTGATAAGTGATTACTGGAATATACACAATAAAAATAACATAATTTAAGTGTTTTTAAGGGTGTCATAGAGGTGGTTAAATTTATTCTTGTCCAAATCCCTTAGTTTCTTCAATTGCCATTTGCAGTTTTTCGCACAATTGATCGTACGAATTGTATGGCGGTAAATCTAACCGGTTGAAACATGTGTGACTACGTGGAAGCCATTGTTCATCACCTGTACGCTCAATACAAAATAATTGACGACCACCGCTGCCTAAAAAGGGAAACAAATTAATGACAATCAAGAGTATTTATTGATACTACAATTACTACTGAAAAAATATTTTGTCTAAAAAGCTAAACACTAACTACAAATCATAAACGGCTACGGTACAAATGTTTTGTTTAGCCACTTGGAGTTTTTAGTGTGATCTGATTTAATCAACTCATTTAATGCACTGCATAAATAGTGCTATTGCCCTTAAACTCACGAATTCAACTTAATATATGATTAACAAATGAGAAAAATCCAATCCATACTTCAGTCAATTATCACTCGAAAGAATCGATTACTGTAAGTTCACCCAGTGCAAGTTCAGTAGATAAAAATATTAATCATATATTTAATCAGATAAAATAAAGAATTACTCAATATCAGCAACTGATAATAATTATATTAAATAGAAACTAAATAAATACAACTACTAACAAAGTTGTAAGCCAAATATTGAGTTAACTTTAACTATTGTTAGTGATTGGTAAATACTTTAAAAACTCCAGTAAAAAAACTACAGATTTCACATCAATTACAGGAGAGACATTATTCGGTCGATATATTGTGAAAGTTACTACTCACCAGTCAATTCAGAGAAGCCTCCTAATGGTAAATGACAGGTACCAGTGACGAATTGAAGAAGACGAGCACGATGTTCATTATCAAGTTTTCGAATCAACTTCATGAAAACAATAGATAGAATAACCATGAACAAAATATCCACGAGTACAAATAAATTGTAATTAGAAAAACAGCTTGTTAGAGAAAAGCTAAACAAGTTTGGAACTTGATTTTCGACACATATCTATCTTTTCTTTTAACTAAACAAATGGTTGTTAAGTTTAACCACGATTCTTTCCATGGACACCGGAAATTATTGCTTCAAAATATCAGAATAGGTAATCAATCACTCTATTCCATTGAATTTCACCACAATCATAACATGATTTGAAATGATAAGAGAACAATATGAACATACAACTAATACAAGTAGATTTATGATGAAACGTCTATCTTAGGTCAACTTAACACAGAGCTGTTCAATACTATGTCACGGTCAAGTATCATAAAAATTAACACTAAAAATTCATGAGAAATAAATATGAATTAAATAAGCATTAAACGTCAATCTATAGAACTCAATCAGGTAGTAAGTAGATGAACATAGGAGCTAAAATTACTTTCTCTAATGATACAACTATTACTATAGTGAATAGCGTTGTCGATTGAAAAAGGAAGCACACAGAAATCCAGTGCATTCGTTCAGATAAGATCCTTTGTGAAGACATTGACAATAGTTCAAAAACATATGTGATAATGTAGGAAGGACAAGAAAATCAATGAAAAGTATAAAGCAATAAGTTTGTTCTTAAAGCCTGTCTACATTTTTTAAACAAGGAGACTGATTTTGGGGTCACTGTATTGCAAGATATTGGGATGGAGCTATCACCTCTATGTATACAGTTTAAAACAATTTGAGTACAAATGTTACGATAATAAAATGATATTTTTGTTACTCAATTCATTTAGTTGGTAGACAGCTTTCTGCGATTTACGCAATAATTGACAAGTTCAATGGATCAACAAAGGTTAAATAAATTAATGAATGAACATAATTTAGATTGATTTCTTTAGTAGGATCACAACAACAGAATATAAAGGAGTTGTGTGACAAGGATTATGTACATATTCTTGATTTTTTCTGAGAAAAAGATTCTGGTTTTCAAAGACAACAGAATACGTCATAAGACAAGAAAGGCGAATGTTGTAATGCAGAAAATTTTCTTTTTCGACTAGCTCATCTTCATAGATGTCATATTTGTGAATGTATACTTAACAGAAGGATAAATTTCTTGCAAAGTAGTTCTCATGACATAGGTTAAAATTATTTAATAGATACCACTCAATGTAAAATATCAAATTCTACTTATATAGCTACCCTCTAGTATAATGAATATTATGAAATGAAATCTAATATATGTTATGGTACGGGCACACACACACATAAACACAGACAGATGGACAGTTGGTATATTTGTTTACCTTCCAAAACCAAATAATCTGTTTACTTGATCGTGTGTACTTTATGTAGACCGTGTTCTTTTCCCAATCATCAACATCAATCTCTGGCATACCGGATAATAGGAGCTTCAAAATAAAAAGTAGAGAGCGATAAACAGCGGTCAGAAATAATTATGCGGTGGTGAGCTTAAACTTCTAAGTAATAGTGAACTATTAAAATAAATCGCTTGCTTTTACTTTAACGCTGTAAAACAAGGCAACTAGTAATAAAAGATAGCCGTTCAACACTATTATTTGATCACAAGCATCCTTAAAGGATTGTTCACACATGCTGACACTAACAAATGAGCAATACTGAGATTATATTTAGGGTACTCAGCAAAGATGGGTGTTCGTCATTGATGCACCTTTCAATGTCAGATACCTCCATAAAGTGTGTCCGTCAAGAGAATCGAATGCTGCCTCAGGAACAAGGAAAACAACAACAATCAAATGTTGGAAAGTATATCTACATTTTATAACTTGATGAAGGGCGAACATTCGTGTCCATGTATGAAACTAGGCTGATTTCCCAAGATCGGTCTTCATAAGCTCTATTTAAGAGTCGGATAGTTGGAAAGGCTAGTATTTCAGACACTATGTTGGTCGAACTGATCCTTCTATGGTTGTCGAAAAAGGGATTTCATTTTTTTGTCGACGGCAACGATCAGTCGTCGGGACCAGTCAGATTGGATTACATCTAGTTCTTAGACTCTAGCTAATATCTCAATCAATTTAACTAGTAAAACTGGACCACTATCTATGGGGTTAAACCATCAAGGCCTGTTACCCTACTTCAATTTACATAATCTATTATCTTTTCAACCTCAATGAGAGTTGGGGATACAATATAACTGATGGGTAGCTAACCGGAGGTTAGTTGAACTCTCCCCTAGTGTTTTCACTATCTATCTAATCTCCTAGATTGAGAATGGATAATATAGTTTATTCATAAGGTACGAGTATTGAGAGTTCGAACATGTAGTTTGAAACGCGGTTTCAGGAGAAATTTCTAAATAAAAAACAGCGAATATTATTAAACCTTTTTTACCTTAAATAATACAATTGATAATTCAGGATGTTTGATAATTAATCAATCTATTCGACCGAATAGGGGAAAGGATTTATTATACTACGAGAAGTCAAAAGATGAGGAATCCGGAAAACCACAAATCCTAGAAAATAACTAAGATGTGAACATCAAAATCAGTCAACAGATGTATTAACAAAATGACCAGTATATTTGCTAACTATTGAAAATAATCAGCCAAAAAGTGATGTTGAAGTGAAAGAACAAGGTGGTTACTTAAGAAAACCCGTGTTCATCAAGGTCATGTATTACGCATGATCAGCTATCAGTTATGCCGACGTCAAATGATTGCTAGTATTAAGTAAATAAGAAAAAGGTTAGTGATAGTTAGACTGGGTCGTGGAACCAGTTTATAAGGTTATTGGTTTTTTTTAAACATTTCCAATGGCATGGATTAAAATCTGTTGTGTTTGTCCACATGATTTCATTGTTGATCTTAGTCTACGTTGTATTCTAATGTTGCTTCATTATGCTCGAATCATATTCTTAGTTTCGTGTTGTTTCTACTACCATTATTTTGAATTCTGTTTTTCCCCCTTTCCTGTGTTTTTCTCTTACTGAGTGTGATAAACTAGACTGAAAATTTGTGCCCGACTGCTTTATTGCTTATGACTGACTAATTTTCAACTGATTTAAGATAGTTCATTCCACGATTATTCACAATGTTAGTATTTTTGTTGTTGTTGTTATCAGTGGTTTAAAATAATTCAGTAAACGAACACAACTCTATGCGCAGAAACTCGAGGTACACTACTTTGTATACATATAAGTGAATAATAGTAGCTGGCTACTTGAACCCAAGGATGAATAGAGCAATTCGATTTAGTAGCCTATTTAGGTGAAAGTCAGTGAAAAAGCTTTAGCACTCAATCGTCCTTCTTAGTCCAAATAATAGACATTGAAGTACTAATCTTTACAATTAACGGAAAACATAGTTATTGGATTGACCAACATAAAATTTTGAAAGAAAAAGCACTAGTTATATGAATTAATTAACAAGGTAATGGGTGAACAGAACGAACAACAATAAGAAATAATAAACAGAGAACAAAAGAAAACTAGTGAATCAATAATCCATACAGGGTCTACAAACACATTTTAATCGTGTAATCATGAAAAAGAGTTAAGATAAAAAAGAATTTCTGTATGTGAAACAGAAGGTAGTGGAGACAGATAAATTTTTAGACACACATACAAACATACAACTAATTAGTTTGATTAACAAGAGTTATGCTCATATTGAAGTGTAACATCTGCCAACACCCAACATTGAGATGATTGATTTTTAAGGTTAAATTTGATTGTAATACTGTAGATACGGTAGTGTACGTAATTTGGTGTGAAGTAAACATATTAGCCAACCTACAATAACATAATGTTATAACGGTTTGTTTTCCTTGTTTACACGAATGGGACGTTAATTTACCTTAGACGAATATCTACACTAGATTCCTACCCAGTGTCTATTCTACAGGACTTCAATACAACTCAAATCAAGAACACATGATTAGCCTGACTACGACGTAAATATATTTCCACACTAAAACCCGACACAATCCAACAACAATGAACAATCAATCAATAATAAATAGTAAGGATAGGTGAATATATAACTCGTCTGACACCTGTCAGACTATCTACATATCTGACTAAACAAACAACCAATCATTATCATCCTCGCCCAGACATCACACAAGAATATATAGCAGTAGATGGTGGATAGGAAACTGAGATTGTACTTTTTTGCAGTTTATCTAGTTGATTTTGTGTATCATGTCGTGGGAATAAAAAACAGTTTTATAGCACACCTAAGGTTTAATTTTTCATTTCAACATGTTATTTTGGCTAGTTATTATCACTCGCCAAAGACAACTGCTGCCAGCTTCATAAATAAGGCTCTGAAAGTTTACTGAGGTGAAGTCTAAAACATTATTAATCGAGCTAAATGCTGAATAAATATAAATGACAGCAAACAGTATATGCGAGAATATCAAATATAGGTTAATTATGGGATATATACTCAGTACAGAGAATTACGACAATACTAGATATAGTACAGTAGAACACTTGAAGTGATCCGAACTTTTTCAAAAGACCTACTTCAAGTTCACGCTCATCGAATAATTCCAGCCATTCGGGATTTAGTACTTCAAAAATACCTTTGTGAATTTCTTCTGTTTGTTTTTTTACTCCTCTGTTGAACCGCCAATCAACCATCAGTCTGAAATTATGCATAGATAGTGTTCGAAATAAAAGCTTTCAGTTGAATTTCATCAAAATTACTAAATATTTACCGAAGAATGCTTGACAAATGTTAGAACAGAACATTTCATAATCATGTAGAAGCTGATGTGCTAAAAGTTATGGAGTGAGGCATTTATTATCTGCATACAAATGACTTTTATTACTTCGCAATCTGAAAATAAAGTTCCTCAATCAATGAGACATAGTTAAGTCAAACATGAGGGGATACTGAAATCCAACGTTGAGAAGATGAAAAGTGAATGAATCAGGGTCATAGTGAGCGATTCTCAGTCATACTCAAAGTGTCCAACCACTGATGGCGGTTATCACGTGGACTCCAAACAGATAGTTTGCATTTGTTAACATGACTCAAACCAAAAATAAATGATTTATTGGACGGATGCAACATTTTGGTTTGTCCGCCCCAACCTTTTTTCAATCTCTTTCTGCACTAGGAAGTATCTCTCATCGAGGAAGGTGGTGGTTAAATGCATTTAACATATGAATCGAAGAATATTCACTGTCTTACCACTCAATTTAGCGCCTTTGCCAAGTACTCTATACCTAACTTCTAAATCGCTCACTCGGTCTTTCCAGGAAATACAAGCGAAAAAGCTTCGAAGACACCTATGATTACAAACTTGCAGTCTGCACATGTCTTCTAATTCCACAGACTATGCTTCACGGTCATAAGGAAGAACACAGCACAGTGCTGAGCAGTGAACATACCCCTGGACAGCCACCAGTACTATTCTATCCCCGGATCTTAAGCTACTGCTTTCAGGTGTACCATTTTCCAACCAACCTGCCTAGCATGGTACGATATAAAGGAGCAAGCGTCCCAAGCAATGTAGCTCGGTCGAATCACCCCGATACATAAGCTCGACCACCACATCAGGGTAGCAGCTAAAATCGTGTTGAAAAAGTAAGAGTACTTACTGTCAATTGTATATCACTATGGCATAGTTCGCTACTGATCACCTAAGACAAAAATTTAGTAAATTTTCATCACTTATTTTCAAAAAGTTTATAAGTGAGAAGTAGTAACAAACACTATATCAAATGTGATTGATTAACATGAGGCGAGGAGAGACACCATTCTACAGATGATTTTATTGGAGTATCAGATTAATTAATAAGTGCATTCGTGGAATAAATGATTGCTTTATATTCGTTGAAGGAAGATTAAGAAATACCTTCCTCCTTAATAAACCATTATCAATCCTATTGGTTCAGTTTAAGTCATCTAGAGAAAGGATGAAAATGATAGATTAGAACAGTAAACACAATACAAACTTTGATTGGAAACCACAGTTACAGGTGATATAAACAAAGTTCTTGCGAAAGACAATAGACTGATCGTTGTGTATCGTAAACAAATCGATATGAAGGCGATGATGGTTAGTCGTCACAAAGCAAAGTCAATTTTCCAGTCAGGTTACCTTTAATACTATGTGCAAATATATGATCTTCGTTATCTTAATAGGCTTAATCAGTTTCTATCTTTACTTGAAGCCATTCTGAACTCAGTCAACTTTTGTGTACTTCAGTCATAACTAGGATGAGAGTATACCGAATGAAATAGTATGCAACATTTAAGTTCCACAATAAAAGCCTCATGTAAAGGAGATTTTAGTTGCGATTCTATGAAATTCATAATTACACATAAATCATAAACATACAAGAAAACAAATATTAATCTCTAGAGAATTGTCTAAAAAAAAGAGCCCGGAGCTTTCTATACATGATTTAGTAGATATGCACAATCTTCTTTTAGTAGGTAGTAAATTTGTGTACCTGATATAATCGGATTTATTTTCTTCAGTCACTTTAATATCTTTGCCACCTTCAATAAGTTCGTCTTCACGTAAAACGCCTAAAAGGTCATAGGTTCCAATAAAGTACAAGTCCAAATCACACTCATCAACTGGATTGTCTCTAAATAATGAAGAGGAAAAAAAGTGAAGAGAAAACAATTAGGCAATCAAAAAGCTTAAACTTGCATGAGTAAACAATTGGGGGGGGCAATTAAGAAGAAAATTACCTACCTAAAAGGCATCAGTTGCGACTAAAATCATCTCATGCTAAACAAAACAGGTTCATTCTAAGCTAGAGATAACAATACTTTAGTGACTTGTTAGGAAATAGAAAGCTGAGTTGTGGATAAAACTCCCTGATCAATGTGAGATTTTTAGAGTACATATTTGTGTATTGGGTTTTTAGCTTCGCTTTTGTCTGTTTTTTAAAACGAAATCCAATCTTACCTGACATAAATTAACGATTGATAATAACTGTGATCCGTATGACCAAGATCTTCTAATGTTAATTTCCGCTTCAAAATTTGTTTATAAAAAGAAAGAGTAAGCCCGCCATCAATACAGCGACCATGAAAAAGTGCCTGAAATATAGATTTAAAGAATAGAACTATACTGAGAAGGACTGGTTACTAAAAATTCATATATACACAATTTATTTGATTTGCTAAATTCACTTGTTAAGTGGACATGTGAAGCAAAGGATATTTATAAGCAGATAGATAACTTAAATGCTCATCTACTGAGAAGTACCAACTGGTGCAAAAGCCTATATTTAGAGCTTCTTTTTGACAGCTTTCTTAAACTGCCTAACATTAAAATACTATACAACTTTCAATCACTTAGATTAATGGTCAGATTTCAATAGATAAAATTTTATATTAACTAATCAAACACTAAATCATACCACATGGATTTATTTGGATTTTCCGAACCGAAAAAGTAAATTCAATATGAGTCTGGCCATGCGTTAGTTCAAAGTTGAACAGCTAAGTAATATACATACGAAGTTACAATTTTCCCCGTAATCCCAATACAAGGAAACGGTTACAGTGATACCTATATGCTTATAGCGTTCAATAAGAATTTTACCAACATGTGGTACACATTAGTATTAATTGGAGAGGTATGTAGGTATTTATTCTCTTGGTGAAATTTAGACGAACATAAGATAAAATAAATGTTAGGTCGGACAAAATGTACATATTTCAAACTCTTTCTATTGAGTGTTTAAAGAAAAGATTAAATCTGGATGGATAGACAAGGAAATGTTTCTATTAAATTTAAGATAATTATACACTGAAACAAAACGTAAAAGTCTGACAGGGAACGCATGATTTAAATGAACCGGACAAGTAAGGGTATTTTCATAGGCAGTAAGTTGTAAATTAGTTTGAACATATTCACATCTAAGTTCTGAAAAACTAGTTAAAATGTTTAACTCAGTTAATCTTCCCTAAACTGACTACTAAATACGAACAAATTTGACATGGTGAATTATCAATTGCTGTTGTAGTTAAAAAATAAAATTGCTAAGACTAGTGTTTCACTGCCATACTAACGCAACAATTCATAATTAATACTTTGAAGCTAAAACACAAAGAATTATACCCAACTATCAGATACATATAGATGCAGTTGTAGAAGTGAATATCTAGCAATCTCAGTTTTTCCTATACTGTTCCTTCTCTTTTGTAAATTTCAACAAAGCAAGAACATCAATTACTGTTGTGAATGAAGTTCTCGCTGTCATTGACATATGAATTTTATTATATTAAGCTATCAGTAGTAAGTAAAACAGAAAATTTCCTCTCCGATACACATCATAGAACCGTAATTAGAAGTGGCCAATCAAAAAGAAAATGGAACTTGTAGGTCACATAATCAAGTAGTAACAAATTTACCAGGAATTATTTATGGTATGATACATGACAAAATTTTAACAGCGGATAAAAGATAATTTATGAACAGGAATCATGGCAGTATAACCCTGTCCCTATGATCTTGAATTCGCGGATTACACAAATGCCGGATGGTAACAATTAGGTAAAATAAGACATTAGATTACATATAGCTTGTAGTTACACTTATATTTAGTCGTGTTTACTATTACGGTTGAGTAAATTATAGAAGAAATCAATTGTAGTATTAGCAGATAACGACTGTGGAAGGAAGAGTACGGACGTATTTCATTTGGGTGCAAAAATAACACCAGGATATTATAATAAATGGAAAGGTTAATGCATTTATACATAACAATTAAAATGATTTAAATTAGATGAGTAAATATAAAAACGGTTGAAATAGATTATTTGTTATGGATAGGTTTCGTCTGATGAGAAAACTAAAACAAATCTTGAAAACATCAAAAGGGCTTAGGAACATCTTACACAACAATTGAAATCCGAACAAAATCTTTACTAAACGAACACTAAAATACAATTTCATCTGTTTGTCGAAATGGATGAGGACATCCATTAATTTTTCCGCATTTTACATAAACACTACTCTCACGCATTTTGTCAGCTGATTCAGTAATGAGGGTAAGTTCTGTAAGTATTAAAAGAGGTCACTTAATTACATCTTAAAATGAATCATGAAATCCATCTTGAATTATTTTAACAAGTACCCTTCAGTTCACCTATTGATTTCAAACTGAGTAATGAGTTATTTTGAAAAAAATAAACGTACGAGGTTCAACTTACCATACCAATAAAGCGTCCAACAAATCGAAAATACGCCATATGATTTGGATTAACATGAGAGGCTGGATTTACTTGTAAGGCATAATCTGTTCCAGTATACTCAAACAAGCCAAACATTGGGTTTAAAATTTCTCTTGAAAGACGATAGAACCATTCTCTGGACAAAAAGACAATAATTCAGTTACATAAACATATGAGTGATTCTGAATTTTGCCATTTCCACGATATACTGAATATTAAAATGAGTGAGACAAAAATAAAAACAAAGCTTTGTATACATGACTTCGGTTATTTTAGTAAGGAAAAAAAACCGACGGATAATAATAATAATAATAAATGCAAAGAGGTCGCAAGAGCAGGTTTGCTTATTTTTAAAAATAAGAATAGTAAAAGAAAAACAATCAGTATCTTTATTTATCATACGTCTCACTAGGTTCCATGAGTTATGTGAAATCGGTTAACATACAATTTCTAAAAAATTACTTCATCTTGGTGTACGTCGACCAATTCATCACACTGGGACCAAATTTGATTAAAAAAAATCCCCCAGAAGGTTGAACAATTTTACTTGAGAAATGCTTTGAAAAATAAGTGGCAAATTTTGAGTGATAACATACTGCAAAAACTGACATGATTAACGGAGTTTAAGTAGACCGCAATACAGAACGCACCCTGATAAGTGAGGATTATTATTAGTGGTAGTCTATATTGTACTGACACCCACCATCACAAAAACATAAGGTAGAACATATAGGAAAATTGTTTCCTCTTAATATAGTCAGGATTGTAGAACACATGAACATTCGTACAAGGAGGCACCAAATGGATATGCGCCACATAAATCATTCGAATCGTGTGAGGGCTGAGATACTGCCCGGATGTCCAAACCGAAACAGGTGGTTTTCTTAGAGAGCTACACTAGGAGCATTTGACCTAAAGGTCTAATACACAAGGAGATGCAGTCCCATGTTAGCAGGTTACCAACACTTGGTTCATACGCCATTTGTTCTTTCAGGATCCTGGAGCTCATGTGCACCATTGGTTTGGAATCAGAGCTTTCCAACTCCCCTAGGTGGATCCTCCATATCCACCAACCCGGTTAAAGCGCCGAACATTCGCTTTTTGTCTTCTCAATTTCGTAAACAACACCCCTGCTGCGAGAAGGCATTGAGTAGGACTTCTCTGTCAGCGATTGTATGCACGTGGTCATGTGAGAGCATTTCGAGAGGGAGAGGTGACTCTCCCCACTCTCGGCCGTACCAGGACATTTGGGGGTACATGCTATTTAGTATTCCTTTTTTTTTCTATTTCGTGTCAGTTGGTAATCAAAATTACCTAAAATTATCAACATAACCATGTGAATCGAGAATATGCGAAGAGTTTCAAAATTTTACCACGTGATTACATAGAAACTCAGTTATTTAATACAAGTGTTATAATGATGTAAAGTGTCATAATACAATCAATTCGAAAATGCCCATATACCTGGCTACTCCACCGTAATCCAAACCTTCTTCATGTAGAAATGTAATTGATAAACGTCTTCTTAAACCAGATGAAGACATTTGAGATACCTAACGTGTCAAAATATAGTTTAAAGTGGTCGAAGTGAAAATGTTTATAATAAACATTAAATAATTTAATTGTGAGCTGTTAACAACAAGTACGTTAAGTTAACTAGAAAAATATCATTAAATATTAATGTAAAGTATGCTATGAATACTCGATAGACTTTAGCTGGTTATTATCTATAAAAAGCATTTACATTTTTGTGCAGTTCTTTTTGATGCTCAATGCATAGATATAGTCATTCATATAGTTTTATCATAGAACTCTTACCAATTCCTGATCCAAACAAAAATTGGAAATTTCAGTCAATGTTCAAACTACCTCTAGTTTTTATTTTAAGTATAAGGATCTCAAAATGTGCACGTTAGTTATATCAAGTAAACTACAAAATCATGGTATTAACAAAGCTTGAAGTTTCGAATTATTTAAAAATAGAGTTAAATAGTTTTTAACTTTAATCAACGCGTGTCTTGCTACGTTGATAGGTTTCTGTTACTGTGGTTGTATCATAACATATGATATGATTCTAGATTTTTTTGTTTTATTCGGAAGTTTAGTTTTCATGGCTGTTATGTTCCTCTAGTTAATGATGTGATACTGTAATTAGAAGTGATAAGTTTTAGAATCTTTAAAAGTAATTATCTAATCTTCTGAGACACTACGTCAAAATACGGGGTGGAGAGTATTCCGTTCATCACTCTGTCAAACATGTTGAAATCACTAATTAATAAGGCTATCACCGCAACTAAAGGTCCAGAATAGCTGGATAACAACCTAACGTACCTAATATCTGTTTTGTTTAAACAGAAAGCATTCTGATAAGAATTGGAATGACTATTATACGTTGTTCTCTTAGTCATCAAAATCTAGTCAAGAAACTCTCACCTACTGAGAAATAATGGGTACTTATAAAGCCATGAAGCCTAGTGTTGTACCATTCAACATCGAATACCATAATTTTAAAAAAAATATACAGAAATCACACATTAGCGTACAGGAAACTAGCTTTCGTCTTTAAAAAATTAAAATATTTATGCGTTCTGTAACGTTCTTACCAGTTGGAACGAGTCCTCTAATAAATTGTCTCTTGATATAAGAAGTTTAGTTTGCCCATTTAACATGGCATTTGTACAACAAGCACGAAAATAATTCACTTTGGATCGAAAATTCCTTTCATATTGCAATGGGACTCCCATACTACCTAGTGAACTATGGGAAATAAAGGAATAAAATGAAAAGAAGATTCTAATTAATTTCAGAAATGAAACTGAACTTTTTACACATTCCAGGTGGTGTGTTACTACTCGCAAGTAGTCTGAAGTAATTTGGGAAACACAATGTCCACGAGAAGACTAAACTTGCTTAATGAACCTCTTTATTAAAAACACAAATAGGTGTTTCACTTCGTGCAGTTTAATAATGCCGACCTTTCAAGAAAACATAGATATTATATTTACTTGAAACAAATTCATTTGCATACATTACCTTAATAATGATCAATACAGTCAAATAAAGAATGATACTAAGTTATTGTTTACATGGTTTATTGTCAGCTACCATTAGTTTCTAATCTACATGACTGATTGACATGATCCAAAGTTATGCTGTGGGTCTTCAGTAATGTACAAGAGATCTACTTTTGAAAACCTCTTTAAACTACTACTATCATCAAACTTTTTTTAAAATTGGTGAGTGAATTTCTGATAACTTCTTAGTAGGAGATTGTTAAAACAAATTAAGTTGTAGTGATGATCGCCACTGTCCTTAAAAATATTCTTTTATAGATTTACGAAAAAGGACAGATAAATACTAAGGACGAGCAAGAACAATAAGTAATAAATAACATGGTTTAGAATATACGGAATACAAGCAGTGGAGGCTAGTATCGTCCCATTTGAGGCTCATCCGCTGGTTGCATCTATATCTAAATGTTGATGTTCACTTTGGGACTTGAACACAGTACCTTCAGTTTTAAACCCCAAACGCGTTATGCGGTGAGCCCAGATAATCACTAACTTGTTCAATAGGTATGATGTTTATATAATTATTTGTGGGGGTTTGGATTATTCCGTTGTTAATATTTAAGACTACATTTTGATGTCTTTATTACGATATGTACATAAAATTTACCAAAATTCAATCAACTTTGACAACGAGATAATACAAACCCTTATTAATAATATGATAATTATCGCGAATTGAATTTTTCACGTTCTCATTTACAGTCTAAACTAAAGAACTACTTCTAGGGAAGTAATGGTTGTCCATAAACAAATATTATAAAATAGGCGAATATGATATTTCTTACCCAGCATGTTGTCCAGTACGTGGATCAACAAGGGTAGTAGTATGGGTATTATGATCAATGAAAAACCTTTGTCCTTGGGCCGTATAACGTTTCTCCCATCCAGGCGGGAGAGGTTGTGTTTCATCCATTCCACGTTCACGTGGATCCTCCCATTGAGTGATTTTACATTTATGGTTGATAAAATAATATTTCTGAGTTGACTTGTCAAAACGTCTTTCTATATTTAAAAAGGTAGAAATAATAATTTAACTACGGTAGGTAAATCTAATAGAAAAAACATGGAGATGAGACGCGGCTCTTAAGATATTAACCACTATTAAACACTAAAGGCTGACTACTTTACAAAATGTGAGAACAGTGATTTCTTATAAATCTATAATACACAATTCGGTTTTGTATCTATTTAGCTGCAATATGAGAGTAATTGAAACTTTTACACATGAAGAGTAAGTTAGAATCGTTTTTTAATTTCATTATGAAAGTCTAATCAAACGCTGATTGCTTATAATATCTGCAAACATATGCACTTTGATTATATACAACGTAAATAATAAGCCAAAGAAAGACGAATAATTTATTTGAAATACTAAGTGACAGATCTGAAACGTGTCGTTATAGATTCTACACATAAACATAAACATTTGGTACAAGGAGGTACCAAGTTTATATGCACAACACTTTGTCATTCGATTTGTGTGAGGGCTGGGATACTGACCGGGTGCCCAAATCGAAGCAGGTCATCATTGACATCACCTGGAACTTACTGACATGTATTCAATTCAATTAACAAGTGTATTGAAACCATAAAATATTCAAGCAACACCTATTTCACACACTATTAAGAGTCACAAAGAGTAGTAAAATACAATCAAGTGCGACTCCAATGACGCATCTACACAATAGATTAAGAAATCACAGGATTAGAAATATTCAAAATAATCGCTCTCAAGTAGATTTAAATAATTAATATTTTAGTATCACAAGTCGTGATCAAAGTACCACTTTAACATAATTAACATGAATATACTTTTTGAAACCTTAATTATAAAAGAAAAGTGTTGTAGTACAAAGACAAAGTATTCAATTCATTTCACTAACAGTTGTAAATCTAAATCCAATTACCGCGTATAACAAAAAGTTTAAAAGTTGTGCAAGTTGGAAATAGTAAACACAGTAGTGTTTCAACGTTACAGTGATTGTCAATGAGTTTATTATCGACTATTAATAATAAATGGTCAAAGTACAACATCGTAAAGTAAGAGAATTAAGTGCGGAGTGGAAGCTCAATAAGTAAACATCACAGTAAGAGAGGATCTATGCTGATTGAAGGTTGTTTACCAAATTTACTTAACTACATGAACTATGAAAGACTGAATCAATTGTTAACTTATCAGTACCCAGGGAACAAAGCATTTAATTTCTATAAAATATATGACATATGAGACAATAATTCTTGGACATAACTGACAAAAAACTAAAAGTGAATGAAGATCACTTTATTAGATGATCAGCTAAAATTTCCGATAGAATTACCTTGTCAAAACTCTATTTAAAAATTAATTGGAAAGCTAAAAACTTAAAATCGAAATGGTGTATCTGTGATTAAAAACAATTTGAAACAAAGTAAGAATTACTCACCCCAACCTGGTGGTAATGACACGTCAATTTGAGTATTTTGGGAATTAACATTAGAATTTGATAGTGAAGAAGAAGCAGATACGTTGTTAGACTCCCAGAAACCATCGACTTCAGTCCAATCATTTAAAGGGCGTTGCCTGTCAGGTAATTCTGCATCTTGACTTCTAGAAGTTGAGTCAACAGCTGCTAAAGTATTCTTTGCAGATGAAAATTTATGGGATCCAAACAGAGATCCTATCAAAGCTGACCAGAAATCCCTATCATGTTGATTTGCTGGTACTCTGGGTGCACTAGAAATGGTAAGTTCCGTGTGTGGATTAGATCCGTTTGGACGTTGAATACCATCAGTTGTAATCACAGTAGTATATCCATTTACTAACTGATGATGAGATCTAAACCATAAGGAAGAATGTAATATAGAGCAGACAAAAAACGGTAGATATATCAAAATTGTGAGACAGATTATGAATGTTTATTTCAATGACCAAAAAAATAGTGCAGCAGTTTATTCCAGTTTTGACGGTTATTTTGTTTGTGAAATCTAATAATAATCAAATTATGGATTATTCTGTAAATTAGATTAGCTAATTAAAATAAAAGCTTCTCAATCCAGTGTACTGATCTACGGATGTAATTTTTTCTAACAAACAATAGTGTAACTATACAAGTACATGAATGAAAGTGTTCTTTAAATTTACTTGTTTTTAAATACGTATGATTTGAATAAACAGACCATATAATGGATTTTTAAAAATGATATAAAACACACGCAGCAAATAGACCTAAGATAATTACGAATTTTCACAGTTGAAATCATGAGTCAATTGAAGCTAGACCACCATCGAAAACCTGTAAGCACTGGACGGCCGTTTCGTCCTATTACGGGATTGGTTGAAGTTAGACATTAACACCGTTGGATGCCGGCTCAGTGGTCTATCGGTTAAGGGCTTCGGCTCGAGACTGACAGGTCATGGGTTCGAATCCCGCGAGTGCGGGATCGTGGATGCGCACTGCTGAGGAACCCCGTAATAGGACGAAACGGCCGTCCAGTGCTTACAAGTTTTCGATGGTGGTCTAGCTTCAATTGACTCATGATTTCAACTGTGAAAATACTAAATTCTCTACAAAACGCCCTCTAATTATGAATTGTTTTGCAGTAATGATTCCTTCCAATGGGACACCAGATGGATACGTTGCCGCACAAAACATTACTCATAAACGTCCAGAGGTACTTATGTTAAAACAATTAGGTATCTAAAGAAAAAAAATGACAAGTAATAAAATGTCCGAGATCTAGAAAAATCCGGAAAATGAATCCACCTAAATCACTATTGTGATTGATTTCGAGTCATGTCTTGTAGGATCACCCGGAAAACAGAAAAATCGAATGATAAACTAACGGAATGACAAAGGTGACTGAACAGAAGACCATGTTGCTTATGAAAATGATCCTCCCAAATACTAGCCGAATAGGTTCCAGAATACAACTAACAGACAGTTGACTAATTTTCTGTTAAGGAACTAAAGTTATCATTTATATGCAAAATATCTAAAAAATATGATTAATCAAGGATAAAAATGAAGAATGCAAGTATGGTAGTATTTCAATGCAGTAACCATTATACTGAACGAAAAACTTAGGATGAGCAGTAGTGAGATAAGGAATTAGATCCACTTCAAATTTCCATTTACTATTGATACTGAAGATTAAAGAAGTACGAAGTTGAATTGTCATGAACTTTAACTTTGAGTCGTATTACATAATAGTTGTGTAATCTCTATAACACTATTCATAGAGTCGTGATAAGCCGGAAAATGTTAATCTGATGAAGTTATCTTTAATCCCACTGCACCACTTTATAAACTGAATGTTTCTCTGCTCTATTCAGTCCATGAAATATCATACGTTAAGGGTATCTGGATTACTCAAATAGAAATCGTAATCACTAAAAAGCAGTCTGTTCTGAGCCCAAAAGAAGTCTGGACTGTTAGCCCGTGGATATCAAGTTTCATAGATGTATTATAGCTTCTCCCACTAAAGAGTCGCACAGTCGGTTATCATTGATGTGGTTATTTCAAAAATGACATTAAACTTCCTTACTTTCATTGTACAGAGATTTGTTTTGTCTGTCACGCCGTCATCAATATATAACTAACAAATGCAAATATAGTTTGACCGTACGGTTTATTACGAACATGAACTATTAATCTTATGAAATTACTTTACACTTGAAAAGTGCAATGAACATACTATACAAATAAACACTGATTATGAAATAACTATCATGAAATCAAGAACTTGACTATGAGTAGAGAATGAGAATACACCACTTGAATGACCTAGTATATTTTATTCACTGCAACTGGCGGAGGTAACAAGGTAGAGTGAAATATAAGATACGGTTACGTTATATACCTCTTACTTGTGTCAGTTCCATGATTTGACCAAAGACATTAAGTATACAACTACTTGATCAATGTAGATATAATCAGATAGATGTGGCTTTATGTAGCCCAGCAAACGTCAAATTATTTACCAATCTGCACGGCCTGTGGGACCTCACAGTAAGATAATACGGTCAACAAACTCAAGCTTTAGTAAATATATAAATAATACATTTGTAATATCCCAAAGAGTAGAAATATTAAATTTTCTGACGTTTCGTGACTCAGTGTAAACCCCTTCTTCAGAGAACAAATAACCAAATTCAGGATTTGGTTAACTCTGCCTGTAGCCCCTTCGGGGGCTACTGCCGATCCAAAGTCCGAATAAAGGAGGAGGGTTGGGTCAATACCCATATCATAGAAAACTAACTCGTAAAAAAACACTAACCAGGAAAAACTATTCAGACCATTTTAACTCTGCCCTGGGAGTTGAAAGAAGAATTATGACGCCTCATGATGAAAACCGAGATTCTTCGGAAGTCATGAGGCCGATGCACCTTCTTACAACCAGAGCAACAATTTTTATAGGTACATGGAACGTCTGAACAGTGTGGAAAACCTGGAAAGTCTTTCAAATTACTGCAGAAATGAAGAAATACAACCTGGAGGTGCTTGTGATCAGTGAAACACATTGGACGCAGGTTGGACAACAACGACTATCTTCAGGGCAGCTTCTGTTATACTCCAGCCATGAAGAAGAAAATGCCCCACATACACAAGGAGTTGCATTGATGCTGTCCAAACAAGCACAAAATGCACTTATACGATGGGAATCTCATGGACCAAGGATCATCAAAGCCCCCTTCAAAACAAAGATAGAAGGCATTACAACGAACGTTATTCAATACTATGCGCCTACCAACGACGACTATGAAGACATTAAAAACCAATTCTATGATAGGCTGCAGTCGATCGTCGAGAAGTTCCCAACAAAGGACCTGAACATTGAGATGGGAGATTTAAATGCCAAGGTTGGAATGGACAACACCGGACACGAAGACATCATGGGACGACATGAACTGGGAGAAAGGAACGAAAATTGTGAGAGATTTGCAAACCTATGTACCTTCAATAAACTGGTCATAGGTGCACTATATTCCCACATAAACGCATTCACAAAACCACATGGACTTCACCGGATCACACCAAACAGAACCAAATGGACCATATCTGCATCAATAAAAAGTTCAGGAGGACGATGGAGGATGTGAAAACCAGGAGAGGAGCTGATATATCATCAGATCATCACTTGCTGGTCGCCAAGATGAAACTGAAACTTAAGAAGCACTGAACAACGGGGCGGTTAACAACACAAAAGTTTATTATGGCTTTTTTCGGGATACTGACAAACTCAACAAATTCAAGATAACTCTCAGAAATAGGTTCCAGGCCTTTCATAATCTACTCAATGGAGAGCAACTGGAAAAGAATAAAAGAAGCAATCACTTCAACATGTCAGGAGATTCCGGTCAACAAAAATCACTACCACAAGGAATGGATCACTGTTGGTACACTGGATAAGATTGAGGAAAGGAGGAACAAGGAGGAAGCAATCAATATCAGTCGAAAAGAGCAGAAAAAGCCAACTCACAAGCCGAATACACAGAAGTAAACAAGCAAGTGATGAGGAGCATCAGAACCGACAAACGTTAATATGTAGAAGATTTAGAAACGATGGTGGAAAAGGCTGCAAGAGAAGGAAACATGAGACAACTGTATGATATAACAAAGAGACTCGCTGGAAATTACCGTAAACCAGAACGACCAGTGAAAAGCAAGGAAGGCAAGATAATCACCAACATTGAAGAACAACAAAACAGGTGGGTAGAACACTTCAAAGAACTCTTGAATCGACTAGCTCCACCGAACACACCCAACATCGAAGCAGCACCCACAGACCTCCCAACCGATGTTGACCCACCAACAATCGAAGAGATCAGCATGGTCATCAGACAAATCAAGAGCGTCAAAGCAGCAGGAACAGAAAACATTCCATCCGAGGCACTGAAAGCAGGTGTAGCAGCAACTGCAAAGATACTCTACATTCTCTTCAGTAAGATTTGGGATGAAGAACAAGTGCCAACAGACTGGCAAGAAAGACACCTGATTAAAATATCAAAGAAAGGCGATCTCAGCAAGTGTGATAAGTACAGGGGCATCACTCTTCTCTTAATACCAGGAAGTCTTCAACAGGGTATTGTTAAACAAAATGAGGGACTCCGTAGATGTCCAACTTCGAGATCAACAGACTGGATTCCGTAAAGATCGATCGTGTACAGACCAGATCGCAACTCTACGGATCATTGTGGAACAATCAATGGAATGGAATTCACCACTCTACATCAACTTCATTGACTACGAGAAAGCATTTTATAGCGTGGACAGGACAACACTATGGAGGCTTCTTCGACACTACGGCGTACCTGAGAAGATAATCAATATCATACGGAACTCCTATGATGGATTTAACTGCCAAATCGTCCGTGGAGGAAAACTCACTGTTTCATTCGAGGTAAAGACCGGTGTTAGGCAAGGTTGCTAACTCTCATCCTTTCTCTTTCTCCTGGTGATCGACTGGATCATGAAGACGTCAACACCTAGAGGGAGGCACGTGATACAATGGACAGCTAGGATGCGCCTGGACGATTTAAACTTCCCAAATGATCTGGCTCTTCTATCACACACGCAACAACAAATTCAGATGACGACCAGTGTAGCAGCAGTGGGTCTCAATATACACATAGGGGAAAGCAAGATTCTCCGATACAACACAGCATGCACCAATCGAATCACACTTGACGGAGGAGCTTATGAGGATGTGAAGACCTTTACATATCTGGGCAGCATCATTGATGAGCAAGGTGGATCTGATGCAGATATGAAGAAACGGATCGGCAAAGCAAGAGCAGCATATTTACAACTGAAGAATATATGGAACTCAAAACAA